CTTAATCCTATGATCTCACAAGCCCGTTTTCAGAGAAATATTCTCCACGTTTATTGATTTTGTCCGAATTAGAAATAATGACAAAATAAATCTTAACTCGGTTAAAAAAAACGAAACCCTAAACCGCATACAGATGCACAGTTTTATTGGTTTGACACATGTTATGGAAACTAACATCGTCGAAAATATTGACTTACCTGACAAAGCATCACGCTGAGGGAGTCGTGAATGTCGTCTGAACGTATTTGATGACGGATAATTCTTTTTTATTATTATATTTACACAGTATAATACTGATTAAAACGCTCTTATGCATAGATTAATTAATCAGGGTAATCTTTTCATGTTGTCGGGTAAAGCCTTTACTCTGTACTAGCTGCAACATGCAACAATAGGGCTAAATACTGGTTCATGCAGAATGTATGTACTAGCGCCATCTGTAGGCTGATAAAGCTGAACTAGGAAACAGATTTCCATAACATTTTTGATGGATAAAAGAAATAAAACTAGTTTCAGAACAAAATACCCGGGTCATTGTATTCTTATAATTTACTTATTATCCGAAACAACTATTTGAAGGTTTTTTTTTGGGGGGGGGGGAGGTGATAATTTATATTTCTCAATTATTTTCTATCTGTTTAAAGTGTATTTAGAACTATCTTTGCTAATTAAATAACTCGAACCGCTATATAGTACTTGTGACGCAGATAAAATAAACTGTTGTCATAAAACACAAAGTAAAGGGCTTTTCATTCACTTGATACCATGAAGGATCAAATTTGAATCGGGATTCATATAATTAGGAATTTTTCTTTTCTGAGCCATAAAATAATAGTTGTCAAACTTGTTGTAGCGTCATAAAGTGATAGTTTCCAATAATGAATTAGGGTTAAATCGATAAGCCCATTTTGTAATTTGACTATCAATTGTTACGTCAATACAACAACAAAATGTTCATAACATTACTTTATTTCAAGCAATCATTGAAACCGAGTCTGGGCTAAATTTGCTGTTTGAAACCTTTTTTTTTTAGAAATAATTTAATCTAAAAAAAAATTAGTTACATTTGAATTTTGAGATAAATATTTAACATGTGGATCAAATTGGACGAAGGTAAACGGATATTAGAATAAACAATTAAAAAATATCTAAAATTGAACGATTGCGTATGTAAAAATCTAATACACAGAACTAAACAATGGCATAAATATTGCGTCGTCAATAGCATTGACATACAGATACACCCACTATTGTCTGAGACTTTATTGTTTCTGGTGGGTAATGCAACAATTAACTGACCGCATGGGGTCATAATCCCAAGCCCCTTAACAGTTAAATTTACAATTACATGTTTCTCACATGATGATAAGACGAAAAACTTCATGTAAGCTCCAGGGTGTTCGATTCGCAATCTACGGGTCAAGGGTTCGAATCCCATTACCGAACATGCTAGACCTTTCAGCTGTTGGGGTATTATGATGTGGTTGTCAATTCCATTATTCGATTGTAATAGCCCACGAACTGGTAGTGGGTGGTGTTGACTAGCTGCCCTACCTCTAGTCTATCACTTCTAATTTAGGACTGGCATCGCAGAAAGCGCATAAATAGGTTTGTGCGAAATTCAACAAACAAAAATCCATGTAGACTTTAGAAGTGAGAAGAGATACTGGATGGCAGTCCGGAAATTACATCATCCACGTGCGGCTCTTCCTATCCCGGCTTCACAGTCTACCAACTATTTCGAGAAGTTGGGAATAATTTTGCTTTAGCATTTAAAGCTCGTAAAAAAAATTAACTTTTCACCGTTGCGGAGAGAGACGGTTGTTGAGTTGAATTCTTCGTCCTTATTCTTTAGCTGTTGGAACGAACAGTGCTCACTAGGTAAGTGTCTTTTTTTTCCCTTATAGATTTCTTTAACATTCGTTAGAGAAATTTGGTTTGGGAAATAAAAAAATTGATGAATCAAAATACCTTCCTCGTTGTGTTAATCAAAGTAAAATATTTTACAAAGTGCAATATTTAAGTAACACCTAATAACATTGTTTGCACAATAAAACTACTTCATCTACGTACGTTACTTAACGAGGTGTGAAAACAAGTTTTTATAGGTATCGCAATACTTTGGCCTCATTATTTTCACCTTATTAATATTCCGCCCTGAAAATGGAGTAAAAACAAAATCATGTAAAAATATGAGTTTGAATATTAAAAATATAATTAAATCTTATTAGTCATAAACATATTAACAAAAATTTTTTACCTTATTTGGAATTTTGAGCTAATGCTTGAAATACAAATCAAATTTGCTCTTGGCCAATTTTCACACCAACATCAATTAAGTATTGCAGTTTTGGGCTATATCAGTTTAAAGTATATGATTTGATGATAAGGCCATAAGTATTAGTAATTTTTATTGCATAATTTGTCATTGGAAATTATAATAAAATTGGTCTTGTCTAAAAGTGTATCGCATTACTGATTCAATAAAACATATCAGTGGTGCGTGACTAATTTTGTAGCACTGAAATTCCAGTTACAAAATTCACCTGTAGAGGGGACACTTATTATTTTCTCCTCCACGTCATGCTACTTACCTGCCCCAGAATTTGGTGTTTATGGTTACTGATATCGTCAAATAACTCGAGCAGGAGTTCTGAATTCGTGACGTACGATATGCATGTCCTTTTAGATCTTACGTTTTACTCTCTGTTTTTCCTTCCATATTCAGCGGAGGCAGTTGAGGTTTGACTATAAAAGGCAGAGGAATCTTTTTGAGTACTGAGGATTATTGTAGTGTTACGACAGCGGAAGTCACGTGACGCTAGT